GAGGTAGGTGCCCGCAGCGGCTCCGCAGGGGGGGCAGCCCGTTCCCCCCGTGTCCTCTGTGCTTGTAGGGCCGGCAGCACTAGGGGAGGGGATCGTCCCCCTGTATCCGGCACTAGTGAGGCTGCGTCTTGAGCACTCGGTTCAGTTTTGGGCCTGTCACGACAAGAAGGACATTGAAGGATTGGAGCATGTTCAGAGAAGGGTAAAGAAGCTGGTGAAGGGTCTGAAGAACGAGTCTTATGAGGAGCAGCTGAGGGAACTGGGGCTGTTCCTCCCCTGGAAACTCAGGGAAGACCTCATTCTCTGCAACTCCCTGAAAAGGAGGTTGTAGCCAGATGGGGGTCAGTCTCTTCTCACAAATGGTAAGCGATAGGACAAGAGGGAACAGCCTCAAGTTGTGCCAGGGCAGGTTTAGGTTGTATATTAGGAAATTATTTTTTTTTCCCCCTGAAAGGGTTGTCAAGGCCTGGAACAGGCTGCCCCAGGAACTGATGGAGTCTCCATCCGTCGAGGTATTTAAAAGCTGTGTAGACGTGGCACTGAGAGACAGACGGTTTAGTGGTGACGTGGCGGTGTTAGGTTAACGGTTGGACTCGATGATCTTAAAGGTCCTTTCCAGCCAAAACAATTCTGTGACTCCAGCTGGTGGTTGGGCAGCCCCAGCATAAAAAGGACAGAGGGATGATGCAGACAGGCTAACCTGTGTTCCTCCATGGGGTATGTGGGCAGGGCTCCTCTGGGCCGAATTTATGGGTCCTCGATGCACTTGGCTGTAGCCCTGGGCAGTGATGTGCTGGCCCTCCTGCCCTCTGCTTGGCTGGCTCTACAGGCTGCTGCAAGTGTCTTGCTTCTGTAAAGTTTTGAGGGGTGTCGTGCTAGAAGCTGTTAGACTGCTGACATATTTTTGTCCCTGTTTCGTTCTGTTGTCCCCTAAAGGAAGAATGCCAGCTGTGGGACAAGAAGTGCAGGCCGTGCCACGTCCACGGGCACTGGTGGGATGTGGCGGTTCTACACTGAGGACTCCCCAGGGCTCAAAGTGTAAGTTGGATAGACGGGTGGTGGCAGAGATGGGGGCTCTATATTTCACCTGCACATGCCATCTTTCAGTCTCTGAACTGAGAGATAAGGGTTGCTCTCTGCATAGGAAAATGTGCTGAACTGATGGCTGCTTAGGTAGATTTGGGACTAAATATTTAATTTGTAAACCCAGAGGGGTAGTTTTAAATTTCAAATGGCTTTGGAAAGGTAGGTACAAGCTGTATTTTGTTACCTTAAGTGGTCTCTGAAAGCTGCAAACAGTTGCTTTGGAGTTGGGAAAGATTGCTTGTCATAGTGAATTAGGCAACTACATGCATGTTTTTGTTCTTTTTTATTTAAAACTTTTTATGCCTTTTCTTTATTAATAGATATCATGTGCTTCTTCTTGAAAGAAATAACTATGTCAGAGGCTTGCAGAATCTCAGGTGTTTTTATTAAAAAGCTGAAGATTAATTATTTTAACTAAGCTTGCAAAGTGAATAGCATTCTGATACCTTGTGTATCTCTGTTGTTACAAGGTGAATATTTTGATGTTGTGGTCACATGTCTGGTGGTAGCATCCCTTAAGCTGTGAAGAGAGCTTAAGTTTTTTGGTTTTGGCCAGATTGGGTCATTCAGATCAGTTCCCCAAACAAGCTTTGCAGCCTAATTCTTGGGTAACCAAGGGGAAAGGTGTGTTTCAGCTGATGGGTGTGTGCTAAGTCATGCCCTGAGCGGGAGTTGCACTCCATGTTCTCTTGTTCTTAGTGGCTTGAAGAGCTGAAGATGTGCAGGGATGTCCCTATTGTTTCTTTTTTTATAGAGTCCATCAGTGTTTTATTTTGTAGCTCTTTAAGGGGGCTGCTGCTGGCTGCATGCACAGAATGTTTGGGGAAGTGCTGGTGATAGTCTAGTCAGTGATTATTCTGTGAGTAATCCTTCCTGAAGTTGTCTTAACATGTTTTTATTTTCATATGTGCTTCATGCTTTAAAAACTTCACAGCAAACCATCAATGTTGTGGAGTTCTGCTGCTGCAGGCCTTGCTTTTTCCATTCTGAGGGGACAAGGCCCAGAAAATAAAGAGATCATGAGCAACAGCATTGTTCTAGAGCAAATGTACGCAAATAAGGAAGGCAACTATTTTCTGTGTTCTTTGGTCTACTAAAGCTCAGTTAAAAAACCACAAAAACAAACTGAGGAAAAAAAGATATTGTCTACCATCAGGTAATTTTTTTGAGTGGACTTGTGATACAAACTATCAAAGCAACATTACCAATTTCAGTAAGTTTCCTTTTGAATCCTTTGGTTTCACTTTTGATGTTGCGGGCCACTCAGTTGTTCTAGTCTTTGATACAAGCGGGTTGGTATGTAATTTTCCCTTCTATTTATGTTGCAACACAGTGTTTCCCAACTTTAAGGTTTTAGAATATTGGGAAGGTTTTTTGCTAGCAACCATGGGTAGCTCTATGGTCAAACTTTTAATGGGAGAAAGAAATCTGTAAAATTGAGATGGTTTTACAGATTACCTGCACACTATAACGTTTTCTGAACCATGGCGTAGGAGCAACTTTCTTGCTTACAGCTTTCCATGTATTTTTCTGCCTTGTTTTTCTTTTTCCCTAGCAGCCATTTGTTATGATTTCTGCCTTATTCATTAGGCTTAAAAATGAAAACGAGTTATGGGGGGGTTGTGGTTGCCTCAGTGAAGTGCTTCAACTGAAGCTGTTTTTAAATATGGGTGTGATCACTACTGCATAAGGCAGTGTGAAAGCTTAGCTTGGTGGTAGTTTGAGTTCTTTTTTCTGTTTTGTCATGTTGTGTAAAATAAGCTTTTAAAATTACTTTGAAAAACTACCTGAAAACACTTGAGAACAGTTTATTTCATCCTAGCTGTGATCAGGAGAATTCTGCTCTAGATAAAAAGTTTTATTTTTAATATTGTGTATAACTGTACATCAGAAATGCTAAGTATGTTGAATGAGCAAATTTGGTTTGCCTCAGGGAAGTATATTTACTTTTAGTAAAGGATGCTAAAATACATATGTCCTTAAAAACAATATAAGCAAAAGGGAGAATGTGGTTGAGAGTGGGATATGATATTTTCCTCTGAAACTCTGATTGAGCATTGCATACTTTGACAAGAAGACTAAATCCAAATTCTGCTCTTTCTGTGGTGCTCGTTACCTGTGGTTCCTGTATCTTATCTTGAGCTTTCTGGCTAGAAGAGCTGCAGGTGGTGTTCCCTGTGGAGCCATGACAGAGAATCAGGTCGATGCACAGCCTTGTGAAAGACTTTCTGAGAATGCACAGTGTGGAATCTCTAGAGTTGGCCAAATTGTTTAATCCATTTATTTATTTAAACTGCATGCGGGCTGAGAAGATACAGGTGTGTGGAGGAGGATTGCAGGGTTTCAGCAGGTTGTCCTTGGGACTGGAGGAAATGAGATACATGTGTCAGTAGTGGAAAGCTGATTATTCTGTAGAGGGATCAATGTCATCTGCACGTTTAAAAACCCCACCAAGCACAGAAACAATCTGCCACGTTTACTTCTATGTTGTGCTGTTCTGGTTAGTGGTGCTCCTCTATTCTTGTGTGGTTTTGGCAAAGAGTAGCTTATGTGTTACTACTACTAAAGGCTCAAATGAATTAAATAGTAATTCAGATACAGCATAAAAGCTTTGTGCACCTGATGTCATTATGATTTATGTTATGTAGCACATAAACTTCAAATATGTATAACATGGTGATTGAGAAGTACCTTCTGTTGCTTAATGAAAGATGCCCCTTGATAGAGGTCGCTTACATAGTCACTGTGTGCATAGTCTTTGGTTTATTTGCTAAGTGCTCTATGTCTGTGTTCAGGGTTCTCCATACCCAAATAAATCTAAGTAGCATAGATAATAATGAGTTTTAAAACTCAATGTAAGGTTACAGTGTGGAACATTTGAAGTACATGGGCCATGATCTCATAGGAAAATACATTGGTAAATTGTTTCAATCCATTTTCAGTTTATTTTTTACGTTGTATTCAAGTAACATTGACCTGCTTATAAGCAGTAACCTGGAGGGTGATCCAGGCTGGATAACAAGATTTCAACCAGCTATTGGGAGAAACACCGTGAAATCTGACGTGAGACTCTATGAAGCAGGGTTGAGTGTAATTGTGTAACTGTGTGTAATTGTTGTGTCTTAATGTGAAGCAGCTAATTTACTCTCTCAACATGCACCCTAAGATTAAACATTTTTTTAAAAACACCACTATACTATTTCTAAACAATGTATAAAAGTGGGAAGGAAAAAAGTTAAGAAATTTGTTTGTTTCTACATTTTAGGTAGTGATTTAATGATGGAGTTAACTTTGACATTCTGTAGATCTTTTCCAAGAAAACAGAAGTCCCCATCTCTCACCCACTGCTGCCATTGTTTTCAAATGAAATAAAACCTCTGAAAAAACAGCTAATATGAATTTTATGCCAAAATTTTCCTAGCCGCTAGAGGACTCTGTTGGTTTTTGTATCTGACTATTTCCCTGCCTGGGTGGTTATCTTGAGTAGTGAGTGAAGATGATAATTTTCCAGAGACTGTTTTCACAACGATGAGTAATAATGAACCACTAATTACTTCTTAAATTAGTGAAGGTTTTTTGTTATTATATTGTGCTTGATAGCTATGTAACATTTAGGGTGTGTAAAACTGCGTCTTTAAAAACATAGGGGCAGCAGGAGTTTTTGCAGAGATGGCTGTCTCATTTCTGTGTACTTTAAGGTATTTCTGTGGGAATGGAACAAGAATTTCTGGTACAATTGCTTATGAACTGATGAGTTCACTTGGCTGATAGTGGTGGCCTTTGGACAAAGCAGACCTTTTTTATGTTAATGCATTTCTTTTCTTTATTTTTAGTGGACCTGTTCCAGTTTTGGTCATGAGTCTTCTTTTTATTGCTTCTGTGTTTATGCTGCACATCTGGGGTAAATACACTCGTTCATAGACTCATCTGCCAACTTAAAGCATACATCTTGGACCAAAAATGTGGTGGATCCTGGTTGTTCTTGGAGAGAGACTGGGGAAGCTTCCTATCACCAGTTGAAGTCCTGTCAACTTTGGCTCTAATATTGAATGAATTTCTCAGTTCACTATTTGGGCAGGTTTAAAGTCTGTCATGGGTCATTTTATATTTGTATCTGTACACTTAGAATACAGGTATTGCAATAAAAGTTGTATATGGTAATAGAAACAGTCTTAGTAATTTCTTTTTTTCTCCTAACATGCCACAACTAAATCATTATACTTGTGGTTTTCATATGTAGCTGTATTTCTGAGTAAATGTCATTTAACAGTTCAAACCAGATTCTTCTGTATTGTACATTGCTATGTAATATTATGCTAGAAGATTTTTTTTTAATGAATGAGAGAAACAAAATCAGGTGCACAAATATGTTTGTTAAAGCAAAACTAAAGTATGGTAGCTGAACTGGTTGTGTTCTTCTCTTGACTCCAGAAAAATGACTGGATTAAGTTCCTAAATGCAAGTTCAACTTGGTGTTCATTATACTCAGAAGTATGTAAGTGTGCTTGTTTTTCACACCACATGAACTGGTACCTCACTGATTTTAAAAAGAAGAATTGCAGGGCTGTCAAAGATGTGCTTCTTCTACAGGTCCAGACTCTTTCAAGGACACTTAAGGAGGCAAATGGAATTGGAGAACTGGAAAAGCAGTGGCTGCATTTTGAATAACAGAACATGCAAAAAGGCTGAGGTACAGCTAAGTGGATCTTCAGATAATCACTCCAGTTGCCTTCTGGATGTTGCTCTTGATTTTCCTTTTGAACAGTCAAACAGAAGTCTTCCTTCTCTTTTTAAAGGTACTTACATACTGGTGCCTTAGTGTTTCAGTTGTTTCTCACTTATGATGTGATCTTCAAATTCAGATAACCAAATCAGGCCTTTCCATACAGTTGGATAGAATTATTTTAGCCTGTTGTTGCAATTCCTGTTTGAATATTAGCTTGTAGTGGGAAAAGTGTTCTTGGTAAGGCAGCCTTGGTACAGCTGTTGGCTGCTGATGTGTTGTGAAAGCAGCCTTTCTTACGTACCACTTTCCTTTAAATCAGTTCTTGAGATAGCATTACTTCTGAAACGAAGAAACTATGCAGAACAAAAAGGAGGAGGAGTGTGGTCTTAGGGCTGTAAGAATAATTGCTTTGAGCTGTGCTTATGCCATCGTACCTGGTGTACATGTAGAGGGAAAGACGACTCGGAGCAGAAACTGAAAATTGTCTGATAAAATGTAATGGTAGGAGGGTTATGTTTTCAGAGGAGGAAAACTTGAGGAAAAGGAATCCTGGTGACCCAAAGGCAGTGGGCTTAGCAGGATACATTTAAGCAGTGGAAGCAGCCAAATAAATTGTGTATGAAAGGAAATGGATCCACAAATCACTTAGTGCTATGCATATGGAAGGGAAGTAAAAACACATGGGAAAATAAATGGGAATTAGCTCACAACTTCAAAAGCCAGAGGTAAGGATTTCTGACTTAAATGCTTTACTTAGCAAGGAAATAAAATATATACAGTCAGTGATTTCATTTTCAGGCAAGAAAGAAAATGCTAAGAAAAGCCCAAGTGTAAGCTGGTTTTTCTACTGACTCTGGACAGACTGTGCTACCGGCTTCATTTGTGATATACAAAGGGAAAGGAATAATGTACTCTAAAATAGTGTAAGGAGAAAGAATAATGGGTAATGACAGTATCTAAATAGGTAACCCCTTCTTTACTCTTGATGATACAGTTTTCTGACAGCAGGAAGCAACTTTCTTCAGAATGCTTTTGGCCCCTAAAAGCTGGCTTGCCATATCAAATAATTCCATTTCAAGCTTTCCGTATTTTTGCTTGTCTGGTATCTTACTGCTTCTAAAGACAAAACTCAGCTACAGACTCAGAAAAAGCAGAGGGGCAGGAGGAAGGCTTAGTGCTGTACCACCTGCATTTCATTCAACTAAGTAGAAAAACACTGACTACTTTGACAGTGCTGTCCTTGATGAAATATTTTGTTTTCTAGAATGGCCTGTACCAGATTTTTGCATACACTGTCAAAGTGTGTAATGCCTTGTTTTGCACAAATTCCTTCACCCCTTTTTGGCTTTCTCTTTTGGAAGGGTGAGCTTTCCTATGGTTTTCATAGAACCTTGCTGCTTTACTTTGTAGAAGCAGTGATACTTTATTTGGATGCATCTAGCTGAAACATCCATAGCTTGCTTTTGATGTTCCTTGTACGTGATGAAAAGACAGATTTCTCTATTGCATGTGTTAGTGATCATTTTAATGACTAGCATAAAAGTATTAAAAATTCCTGCTTATAGTTTCAGCATTTTGTGTACGTGAGCTGTAGTGGATTCTTGTGATGGACGTTTATTGAACCTTCAGCTCAGTAGAGGTACAGATGCAGGTTGCAAAGACTTACCAGAAGTTTGGCTAATAATGGATGTGAAATTCTGTGGCATAAATTGTGTCTATGGCTGTGCTGATAAACAGTAGCTAATCTGTACAACAGAAAACTATTTTTTTGGTAATAGGTGGGAAAGAAGAAAGGATGGTCATTTGCGAAGCTTCATATTGGGCAACTAGGAATTAGTAAGACTTTGGATTTTTATGCCTATTTGTGATTGAAATGCAAGCTCAGCTGAGCTGCCTGTTGGAACTTGTAAATATCTTTGTAGTTAAGTGCTACAGAAGGCTCTAAGTCTACAAAGATCTTTATTTATCCAGTTGGTTACATCCAGGCCAGTCTTTCTTGTAGTGTGCATATAGCATGTGAACTCCTCCGAGCTTTTGCCATCATGTCACCATGAATACTGTGCCTCTGATCATCACTCGGTGTCTCTCACTCTTGAAGGGACCACGGGGAAGGGCAGTTAAGTGCATTCATTCATGACTGCCCCATGCATACACATCTCTTTTGCAGCACAAGGGTTGGTTTTACTTTTGCAACATCAGACTCTGAATTTACCCTCCAAGAGGAGACACTCAGCTCTTTCCAGCATCTCACCTATCTCCTGCTGTTCCTTATGCTCTCTGAGCCTATCAGACATAATACAAACCACTCTAAGCTCTCTTCACTGCTGTTCACAGTAAGTAATGATGCCTTTACTACAGACCTATGTACCTGTACAGATATGTGCATGCCCGTGTGTTGGTTGCTTTCTCAGGTCAGAAATGCAGGAGGATGTGTCTGTGAAAGTGTAAGGCAGCACACCCTTATGAGACAACATTGCAAAGAAGCAAACAGAACAGCTTGTGTTCTTCCTCAGCTCTGTTAGCTAGAGATGAGTGGATGCTGTACTGAGATCATGTGGTGAGGGCTAAATGATTTTATAATATATTAATGGATTCTATGAAGAGCTCGGTAGAAAAAATTGTCTTAATTTTTGTCTGGAAAAAGACCCCTTGTTTTTTCAAAGGGTTACTTGTTACATACTACAAGCTTCAGTAATACGGCTGCATTGACATTCTCATGTTAGCTGTTTATGTAGATGTGTTTCACAGAAGGCTGTTTTCTAGACTTGGCATTGTTAGTAATATATGAAGAGTAATAATGGTTCTTAACTTGGGATGAGAGCTAGAAGAGGGAACTGTGCCCTTTTTTTTATTGAAGGGAAAACTGTATAGCGTTTGCGAGTTGCAGGCAAAGCAAGAGCAGATGTGAAGTTACTGAGTACACCTCACACCTGATAGGTATTGTGACCTTCTTCCTTCTCTATTTGAGTTCTTTCTCTTTCTCCGGAGGCTGCTGACTATGCTGAATTGTGCCATGTGGTAGGTTAATACTCTGATGGCAGGCAGTAACAATACTGGACAGAGCAGACCCCTTTTACTCATGACAAAATCTAAATTCAGATGAGGATCAGCACAGATTTGACAACTTCATATTCATCTGCAGGTTGCAAATAATTATCCTTGTTTCCTATTTTGAAGGAATTGTTGTACAACTGCCTTCCAGAATGGTATGCATGATTTTTTTTTTTTTTTTTGACCAACCAGAATTGGAGGAGTTCTTTGAAGCTACGCTATCATTTCATAAAACAGAACTAAGCAAAACTTACCATGCTCTGCCTCCTCCAAATAACTGTTTGTCTTAATATTAACAAAGTGAAATTCTGGCTTGTTTATTTACAAATGCTGCAGTGATAAGACTTTTTTTCAGTGAAATGCTTCCAAACTAAAATCAGAACTAAAATTACAGTCAGTATGCACCAGTTTCAGAGGGGCTGCATTCTCAACATCTATTAATTGTCAAACACAGTTCTGTGAGAGCTTCTTCCAAGTTATCTTCTTATCAGCTACTGTTCTGATCAATTTTCTGGTAAGGTAATATGGAAAGAAATTAAAGCAATGTGGCCAGATAGTCCTAAGACTGACTGGTGAGTGATGTTACTCCATTTTTAGGTAAAAGTGCCATGGAGGTAGAGTACAGTATCTGTTGTAATCAGTGGAGGAGAGCATATGTGTTCCTCACCTCAGGGAGCCATCTGTGAGGCGGAAAAAAAAATAACAGCATGATACAAAATGCTGAGAGGTTTGCAAAGGATGAAACTTGTAATTGAGTGTGAGTCTGAACCTGATGCAGTTGTGGGGCTTGGCAGACCTAGCTTTCTAATTTTGTTCCCTTGTTTTTTTCCATGCTCCTTGCTGAAAAGCTTTTTTTCATCTTCTTTTGTGGCATTTGGGCAGGATTTATAAAGCAAACAAAAACTTTACAGAAGATTGAAAATTCATGCATGGAGAAACTCACAGTGGTGGATAGTTGAACTAGAGCCTTTCTCTCCTCTATAGCAGCTGGAATTAAATAATAATTTCCCTGCTTCCTGCATGCAAAATTACCTCTTGACCGAATTTTCCTTAACTGGATGAAGGAGTTTGTGGAGTGAGATTATATCTCTGTTTCTCAACAGAGAAAGAACCTCACAGCACCTGTGGGAAGAAGAAAATTTTTTTTGCTAGTTGTAGTTCCAAGAATATTTTCCACCTCCAAGCTGAAATTATTTCTAACTGCTTTCCTTCCCATGGCAAACTCCAGAACAGAAGGGCTTCAGACAAGGCCTCTTGTCTTGGACTACTGCATGAAGATTGACCCCTTTGAGGGGAAAATTTGTCAGTAAACTGCATTTTTGCAGTAAACCTTCTATCCCAATTGTATAGGCTGTTGTGTCTAGCAGCATACCTTCTCTAGAAAAGTATC